AGCCAGTTCAAATGCAACAGTGGGCGCTGCATTCCTGTACACTGGACTTGCGATGGGGATAATGACTGCGGGGACTACAGCGACGAGACCCACGCTAACTGCACCAATCAGGGTGAGGGTGCAAGGCGTGCAGAGCAATTCAGGCTCTACGCACACAAACCCCAGATTGAAATTTGGCATCAGAGAAACTGAAAATTCTCTGGTCAAAGCAAGTTGCATAAATTAATACGCCAGCTGTTGGTGTAAACCCCCCCGCCCCCCAGTGTTCATCATTGTGTCTTCTGTGCAGTCCCACATGGGAATTGCGCAGGCCAGCATGCACATGCCCTGTTCCCGTGTGCCTCCACAGAAGAGCACTTGATGAACAGTTAAGTGCAACCATATTTTAGAGGGGTGCTTTTGGAGGAGGGCAAATTGCAGAATTTATAATCTGCCTGAGAAAGAGCTGCATAGTGGTTAGGAAGGAGATAAAAATAACCTAGGGATCGTTTGGTTCTATATCTAGGATTGTGGAAAGATGAATATAAGCTCCTTGGAAAGGGAGAGGCAACTGCTGGGAAAAGTGACAGGACCATATGCTCAGACATTCACATGAACAACGTCAGTAGATGCCCAAAGTCAACCTTTAGAAGGGGGCGGAAATCTGTTTCTTTATTATATTTTATTTCTGGTCCACCTTAAACTCTTAAAACATCCAAAAAGTTATAACACAGTCCTTACAATCTATAAATTGTATAGATTTTGTGTGTGTGTGTGCGTGTGCGCGCGCATGCATTTAGACATAGACTTTGTGAGCTGAACTTCTCCCAGTTACAGATTTTGTACCAGGTGCTGTGCTTATACAGCCATGTTTGTATACTGCTTCACAGTAGGCACTGCTCCTGGCTCAGCCAGCAGGAGACCGATGTTCCCAAAGTTCCAAAGGCGGAACTAGGGATGACCATTCCCTCTGCGAGACCAGTCCTTTTGCTTTGAAATTAAAAACATGTTAACATCCCACCTTCAAGGGTATCCAAAACTCCACACTGGAAGACAGAATTTTGTTACATATTTATTCTGCTAAGTGTCCCCCCCCCCACACACACACACCATGACCCCAGTGTCTTCTCACTCCCACTTCTTGTAATTAAGTAGAAGAAGAAGAAGAGATTGGATTTATACCCCGCCCTTCACTCGGAGTCTCAGAGCAGCTTACAAACTCCTTTCCCTTCCCCTCCCCACAACAGACACCCTGTGAGGTGGGTGGGGCTGAGAGAGCTCTGACACAAACTGCTCTTTTCCAAGGACAGCTGTGCCAGAGCTTGTGACTGAGCCAAGGTCACATCAGCAGGTGCAAATGGAGGAGTGGGGAATCAAACCCGGTTCTCCCAGATCAGAGTCCGCACACTTAACCACTACACCAAACTGGCTCTCTGTAGAAGTAGAAGTAGTCAACCAGGGTAAACTTCTTTGGGTGCTCATCAGAGAAGTGGTGTATCAGATTTTGAATAAATCAATAAAACATCGGTCCTCTGTCCAATTTTTTGTGGCCTCGCAGCAGTACTGTTGCCCCGGAAGATCGGACCAGAACCAACAGGTTGAACAGGTTGAAATTAAATCAGAACAGTTTTTTGGCTAAACGTTAGGAAGAACCTCCTTGACAGTTAGAGCAGTTCCTCGCTGGAACAGGCTTCCTTGGGAGGTGGTGGGCTCTTCTTCTTCAGAGGTTTTTAAACAGAGGCTGGATGGCCATCTGACAGCCGTGCTGATTCTGTGAACTTGGGCAGGTCATGAGAAGGGAGGGCAGGAAGGGTTGCCTCAGTGCTTAGTTCTTGGGGCCCTTTCTTACTGTCCCGTTCCTGACGTCCGGGACCAGGAGGGTCTCGGAGGGACGCCCAGAAGACCCCCGAACCCCAGAGCCCAAGCCCCCTCACCTGGCGGCACCCGACCGGCAGGCCAGGGCCCGGACGCGGCAGCCAGGGAAGCAACCAGCGGACGCGCCAGGGGCAGGCGGCGCGAACCAAGAGGAGACGTATCCAACAGAGGCCCTGGGAGCCCGTCCGAGGGCAGCGGAGTCCGAGAACGAGACAGCGGCGCCGGCGGCGTGGCCACGGGGCCGCTGAGACCGCCGCCGGCAGACCAGGCGCAGCACGAGGAGACGCCCTGCCGGCGTTCCTCCATATGAGGGGGGGGCGGGGCCTTCTCTCGGGTGGGGAGGGGCAGCACCGCGTGTACGGTAGTAGGGAATAAAAGCCGGCTGGGGCGCGGACCAGGGAGGAAGGAGATGCGTTAGTGACCGGAGTTGGCGAGAGAGAGAAAGGGAGGCGACACGGTCACACAGCATCGCGACAGAGAGACTGCGGGGGTGCTGTTAACCCCGTCTCCTGTCAATCTGAGGTCCCGCGAACCCCGGAGATTCTCCTACCGACTGTCGGGAGCCGCCCGCTCGCCCGTGACTGCAGCCCAACGCCACGGCTACCGGGGGTGCTCCTTCCCGGGCCGAGCTCGGACTTGACACTTACATGCCCAGGGAAATGCCTATCGTCACTTTGGGGTTAGGAAGCAATTTTTCTCCAGGCCACTTTGGCCAGGGATCCTGGAGGTTGTTTGTCATCTTCTGGGCATGGCACAGGGGTCACTGGGTGTGTGTGTGTGGGGGAGGTATTTGTGAATTTCCTGTGTTGTGCAGTGGGTTGGACTAAATGACCCTGGAGGTCCCTTCCAACTCGATGATTCTGCTCCTCCCCAGCATCCGATTTTAGGATCTTTGCTTCTCTTCCTAATATGGCATTAATGGTACCCAGAGTAAAGCACAAGCTCTGACTGGTTAACGTGCTGTCATTGCATTCCCAGCCACACGCCCACCTGGAGGCTGCCACGCAGATGAGTTTCAGTGCCGGCTAGACGCGCTCTGCATCCCCATGCGCTGGCGTTGCGATGGAGACACCGACTGCATGGACTCCAGCGATGAGAAGAACTGTGAGGGTGTCACCCACGCCTGTGATCCAAATGTCAAATTCGGCTGCAAGGATTCTGGTAATTGGATTGCGTTACATGGTGGGGGCAGAGATAAAACAGAATTACCCCGGGGGCAATGCTCCCTCTAAGCTGTGGAGTCCTGTGAGCAAAAACTCTACTTTGTCAGCCTACTGGCATGAAAGTCTTGAGCGAGCGACTGGGCGACTGCCTAGATTAGTTTGCTCTGGAGCCATCTTCCTTGAGCTAAGGCAAAAAGGTGTGAGCCGGTGGCTAAAAACCTGTGAGCTAGCTTACGCTAACTCAGCTTAGAGGGAGCACTGCCCGGGGGCATGCCCAAGCCGTTCTACAGTAAAGGTTTGGCTGTACTGCTCCAGGTGACTTTCGAGTGGCATCATCATGACAGGGATGTTGCAGGGTGACGTGCCTGTTCGGGGGGGGGGGTGTTGCTTCCCTCACTGACCAGATGGCTGGAGCCCCAGAAATCAGGGGAACCCCTGCCCGGACCGGGAGTCTGGCAACCCTAACTGGGACACAGCATACCAAGTGTGTTGACATCATAGGTCCATGCAGCGATATTACTCCAGTGGCCGTTGCATCTTCAGGTCCTTTTCCATAACTCCTAGTATGGAATTTGCTTCCCCCCGCCCCCCCGTCACTGCTGCACTGCCATTGGCTGCACTGTTCCAACAGTCTGTGGCGGCTGGTTTTCTGCCATGAGCGTAGGTTGTCCCAGGGGAAAAAGGAGTCTGCTGTTTCCGCAGGAGATCTTTTGTACTCCCGGGTTTTATTGCTATTACGGGGTAGGTAGACAGGGCCCTTGGGATGCGTCTGGCTGGCCAAGGTTTCCCCCCTTTGACACCACATAGTAATTCATCATTATGGGGCAGTCATATGTTAGTAAGCTACATGTGCTCCATATGGTTCCCCTTATGCATTAAGATCTTTAGATGAGTCTCTGGTCTGTATCGCCTAACCATCAGAATAGTTACATGTTTAACGATTACACTGAGAGTTGCCACACATACACCTGCAATATAAATTTGGCAGTGATATACTACATCACAATTCTTGCTCGTGATGACTGTGCTTGTTATTTGATCCACATGCAGTGGAATCTGGAACAGAAATTAGAGGGGTGTGAAGCCATAAATTCTCTTTTGTCCCCAGACCCTGATTTCTGTGATACAGGCACGCAATTTGGAACCCACGAAGACCAGGGGATATAGAGCAGGGGCTCATCTAAAGCTCTTAAAGCATAAGAGAAACCACATTAAATACTCTTAGCTTACTAAGATTTATATCTTACTTGTATCTTACTAAGATTTATATCACCTCAGTTTTCTGTCTGCTTTGACCTTCCTTTCCACCTTGAGTCCCCTTTAGGGAGAAAAGATGGGATGTAAATCCCTCGATTTAAAAAAAAAATAATCACCATCATACTTCTGTCCTTGGGGCAAGTGTAAGATTTTAATCCTGTTTAAATTGACAACTTCCCTCACAGAAGCTGTACTGTATATGTTGTGACAGCTTTCCCCCATCCCAAGCAGTTGGAATGTTCATGAACATTCTGTGCCATCTCACCTGCTCAGCTGATCTTTTTTTGGGGGGAAGGGCAGTTTTCGCTGTCACAAACACAATGTGCTTTAGATGCCTGTTTTAGTACCTCATTATCATGTTAACTATATTCGAACATCATATTTCATCAGAGCTCTTTCCCCTCTCTGTGCTGTTTCTAACGTTGCTTTCCTTACCTCTCCTTGTAGCCCGGTGCATCAGCAAGGCTTGGGTATGCGATGGGGACAGTGATTGTGAGGACAACTCTGATGAGGAGAACTGTGAGTCGCTGGTGTGCAAGCCGCCATCTCACACCTGCGCCAACAACACATCGATCTGCCTGCCTCCTGAGAAGCTATGCGATGGCAACAATGACTGTGGGGATGGCTCTGATGAAGGGAAACTGTGTGGTGAGTGTGGGACTGAGAATAGACATTTCTGGACTTGTCTCCGTTTCTGGCCCTCGGACACAACGATCTCGGGGAGCCAGTGAGACCGACTTTCGTTGCATTTGCTCTTTGGAAAACATTAGCGCTCCTCTGTAATTTGGTTGTTTATGGGAGGGGAATTGGGTGTGTGTGGTGTTTTGGTTTTTTAAATGTTATTTGGTAATACATATAAATTCATTACACAAGTGTGAGTACACCAGCAGAACCTCCAAATGTTGAAGGAAGGAAGGAAGGAAGGAAGGAAGGAAGGAAGATTGAGTGAACATTAAATGAAATAAAAAGGTCTTCACCTGCCGGATGGAAGAGGATTTTGAATCCCAGTGAGAGACACTAGACTGGAGTTTTTCCAAAACAAATTGTCTTTTTACTGAATCAATATCAAAATCACATACACGCAAAATCAGTCTCACATTCGCATACAATCAAGTTCCTTTAGAGTTACAGAAAGATATAAAAATAGTTTTTCATTTACTTAGGAGGTAGGTAGGTGCACGGTTAATACTTGCCTGTTCCTGAAGTCTTGTCTGTTGCAATGTAAAAATGGGGGAAGAGAATAGTACCTAGGGATATTAACTAAATCACACTTGCTAGAACCAGCC